GGGGACCCCCGGGGCACCGGAGGGCCTGGGACCCTAACTCCCGCCGGGGCGGGGCTGGCTTTGGTCGCCCGCTGCGCGTGACCTGCGGTGACGTGGGGGATGACCCTGGTTACCAGCCCCTCTACCGCCGGTTACTGAGGAGTCGTCTTAAAGCGTGCGTGTTGGTTACTAAAAACACAGTAAATTGGGCGAAAATGAAAGAGTGAGATGGTTTCTCTCCCCAAAGTCCTGTTTTCGCCTGAGACTGAACTTCATCCTCAGCTGGGTTTCCTGCAAACCAGGGTAGCTAAAGGAGAATTTTGTCTGTGCATTTTTCTGAGAGCCTCTGACTTTCTTCAAGGTATGTGGGACTTCAGCATATGTATACAGGAAAAGAAAGACTGCGGACTGGCTAGCGGTCAGTGTCAGCAAGTCTGTCAGCCAGTGATACCGTGAGCATCTGCCCTTCTTCCTATCTTCTCTTTTCCGAACTTTTTCAAAACATTTTGCTTTTCTCGAGCAGTGAAAACCTAACTCATTTCTACGTTGTGTATAAGTATTTTTATGTTTTACTCTCCCTTTCTTGGCTTTCCCCCTCCTGCTCATTCCCTTTTTAATGACTATCAAACATTTCTGTGAGAGGTGTTGAAATAAAAGAAGTTTCTCTCTGGATAACAATAATAAGTGCTCCTTTTTCCAAAGGGAAGGACATGCTGGTAGGCATGTTTCTGGTTGTAGGAGAGGGTCAATTAAGGAACCAAAGAAAGCTCCTAGGCCAGGCAAAGGAGTGGGTCCCAGTGGAACAAAAGTTGATAGAAGAGTACTGTATAGAAAGAGCCTCTTTGAGATGGATTTAGGTTTTTAATCAACAGTGACTATCAGAATAATGATGTGTTTTGGTTCTTCCCTCCTACCCCTCCAACTCCAACCAGTCATTGTATTTTGGACGGAACAGATTGAGAAGTACACAGGCTGCTACACAAGTTGTTCTGAATGTTCCTGAAACACGAGTGACACGTTTGGAGAATGGACTCAGAGTGGCCTCTGAAGATTCTGGGCTTTCAACATGCACAGTAAGTGATTCAGGCAGCCACTGTTTGAGTGACTCCTCATGAGGAGAGAGCAAATTGTTGGTTTTAAGCTAAGCTTTTTTAGTTGGCTGATAGTTGAAAAATAGTGGCAGTTACATTGCCTTGACAGGTGACGCTTACTTGTAAATCTTTCTTCCAGTGATACTTCCATACTGGGTGCATGTGTACCTTGTTTAAGTGTCTACATCTGTTTTTTGTAGCCTATTATTATATTATTTATTGTTGGTAATGTTGATAGTAATGAAGGAGTTATATTTGCTGGGCTACTCTGTGCCAGCTGTTTGTACATACTATATTTTACTTGATCTTTAAAACAGTTCTTCTATTAGACATAATCATCCTTTTTATAGTTGAGGAACAAGTTCAGACAAGTTAAATGGTTTTGTCTTAGGTCACACAGCTAATACATGACAGAGCCAGGATTCGAACCCATATTTGACAGTCTCTGATGTTCTTTATACTGTAGTTGTTAATGGCTGTAGCACAAGTTGGACTAAGAATCTGGGTTCTCTGTGAAGCATCCAGCAGTCTGGATGACCAAAATTTTTAAATTTCATAGTTCATAGGAATATACTATCAATCCACTTAAGGGAAGAAAACTTCAGTGTTAGGACTAGAAGCATTTGTCAGAAAAAGGAAGGAACCTTCCCCCTCATCCCCACTACCATTTCCCTCAAAGAAAGAAAATGATTCTTAATTGCTTACTTAATTGTTCCTTGGTTGCATTAAGGTTGGGCTCTGGATTGATGCTGGGAGTCGATATGAAAATGAGAAGAATAATGGAACAGCTCACTTTCTGGAGCATATGGCTTTCAAGGCAAGTTATCAGACATACTTTATAAAAATGTATTTTTTTTAAGAGACAGTAAGCACAACATTTCATTCTAAGGCAGGAAAAACGACTTCAACAGTATAGCATGTTTTATTTTAAAAATCTTTTCTTTTTTCCAGAATAATTATCTAAAATAATTACTTACAATTGCTCTGTAGAGTTGAAGCAAGGATTTTCTCTGGGACGTAAGGGTTTTCTGAAAATATATCACGATTTCTGAAGCCTAATGTACTTTTGAAACCGAATTTGGTCCTTGTGTGAAACTGACATAGGCTTATGTTCTCATACTCATTGTCTGAAATGTTTAGAGCAGATAGGGGATAAAGGAAGGTATCATAATATTTTCCCCCCTCTTTTATTTCAGGGCACCAAAAAGAGATCCCAGTTAGATCTGGAACTTGAGATTGAAAACATGGGTGCTCATCTCAATGCCTATACCTCCAGAGAGCAGACTGTATATTATGCCAAAGCATTTTCTAAAGATTTGCCAAGAGGTATTGTTGTTATTTATACTGGAGATGTATAATTTTCACAAGAGTTAAGACAATTTAGTACTGTTTTTATTATGTCTGTTGTGAAAGGGTAACCCCCAGAAATGTAAAAAATATTTTTATTTTATTTTTCTCCCAATAGGACAAATGATATCAAATATTTTTAGGCTCAAAACTTGTGTAAACCAGGCCCTAATGCTTGATTCAAAAATGCTTCCTCCAGAGCCATACCTGTGTAGTGAAATAATTTTAATTGTTTGTATTTATTTATTTATTACTGCCTACTGTTTTTTACCCCTCTCACTTTACCCTGTTATCTGAATTTTTTATTTCTATACACCTGAACAGGTTTTATATCTACTGATTGCTGGACTTTGTATTTTAAACAAAACTTTTTTTTTTTCATCCTCACCGGAGGATATGTTTTCACTGATTTTTAGAGAGAGAGACATCGATGTGAGAGAAGCATCAATCAGTTGCCTACCATATGTGTCCCAACTGGGGATCGAACCCACAACCTAGGTATGTACCCTGACCAGGAATTGAACCTGCAGCCTTTTGGTTTGCAGGATGATGCTCTAACCGAGCCACCTGGCCAGGGCAAAACTTGCTTACTTCTTTATTGTATTTGTACATTCTAGATTCTCATCCTGGAGTGTGGTTCTTTCTGACCTTTCTTTCCATTAATTTCTTTTTTTAGTCATTTTAAACTAAAACCAAAAAATAGTTCAACCATCTCTCCCACTGTCCACTTCTGGCAACCACCAATCTATGAGCCCAGGATTTTGAGGGTTTTTTTGGATTTTGCCTATAAGAGAGGTCATGTGGTATTTGTCTTTTTCTGTCTGACTTATTTCACTTAGCATAATGTCCTCTAGGTTCATCCATGTTGTTGCAAATGGCAAGCTTTGCTTCTTTTTTATGGTTGAATAATTCATTCACTCCTTGATTGACAGGTTGTTTCCATACCTTGGCAATTGTAAAAAATGTGGCAGTGCACATGAGGGTGCATATGTCTTTATGAGTTAGTGTTCTCCTTTTCTTTGGGTGAACACCCAGAAGTAGAATTGCTGGATCATATGATAGTTCTATTTTTAATACTTTGAGTAACTGCCATACTGTTTCCACAGTGGCTGCACCAATTTACATTCCTACTATCACTTGTTATTTCTTGTCTTTTTGATGGTAACTGTTCTAACAGGTATGAGGTGATACCATTGTGGTTTTGATGTGCATTTCCCTGATTAGTGATGTGGAGCATCTTTTCTTGTACCCATTAGCCATTTGTATGACTTCTTTGGAAAAATGTATATTCAGATCTTTGGTCCAGTTTTTAATTAGATTGTTTTTCTGCTATAGAGTTGTATGAGTTTTATGTATTTTGGATATTAGTCCCTTATCAGATACATGATTTACAGATTTTTTCTCTCTCATTCAGTAGGTTGCCTTTTGTTGACGGTTTCCTTTGTTGTGCAGAAGATTTTTAGAGGTAGTCCCACGTGTTATTTTTGTTTTTGTTGCTTTTGGTGGCAGATTAAAAAAATTATCACCAAGACCTATGTCAAGGAACTTACTGCCAGTGTTTTCTTCTAGGAGTTTTTTCAGGTCTTATGTTTAAGTCTTTAATCCATTTTGAGTTGATTTTTGTATATGATGTAAGAGAGTGGTCTAGTTTCATTCTTTTTTATGTATCTGTCCAATTTTCCCAGCACCATTTATTGAAGAGATTGTCCTTTCCCTGTTGTATATCCTTGGCTCCTTTGTTTTAGATTACTTGACCATATAAACATGAGCTTATTTCTGGGCCCTCTATTTTATTCCATTGATCTATGTCTGTTTTTATGTCAACACCAAACTTTCTATTACTGTAGCTTTGTAATAGTTTGAAGTCAGGGAGCTTGTTGCCTCCAGCTTTGTTGTTTCTCAAGATTGCTTTGACTATTTGGGTCTTTTGTGGTTACATACAAATTTTAGGATTGATTGTTCTATTTCTGTGAAAAATGCCATTGGAATTTTGATAGCGATTGCACTGAATGTGTATATTGCTTTGGGTAGATGAACATTTTAACAATATTAATTTTTCCAATCTATGAACACAGAATATCTTTCCATTTATTTGTGTCTTCAATTTTCTTTCATCAATGTCTCAGTTTTCAGTGCATAGGTCTTTTACTTCCTTGGTTAAAATATTCCTAGGTACAAAATTCTTTTTGAAGCAGTTGTAAATGAGATTTTCTTAATTTTTCTTTCTGATAGTTTATTAGAGTATAGAAATGTAACAGATTCTTGAGTGTTAATTTTGTATCCTTCAACTTTATTAAATTTATTAGTTCTAACAGTTTTTTGATGGAGTCTTTAAGGTTTTCCATATAAAATATCATGTTATCTCTAAATAGTGACAATTTTATTATTCCCTTCTAACTTGGATCCCTTTTATTTCTTGCTCTGACTAGGAGCATATTTTTTATTCCTTGTTTGCTACAGAACCTCTTGGTCAAGAGCAAAATAAGCAGGTGTTCACTTTTCAGTTATTGGTTATTTTTGTAACAATAAAATATATTTTATTTTTACTTTGTGGAAATGAAATAATTATTCTGACAGCATAGCATACCACTTTGTTGTAGTTACCATGCTACTAGGGTGTTTTGAATTTCTTTTGTTTTTTTAAACGTATTTTTATTGATTTCAGAAGGAGGAAGGGAGAGGGGAGAGAGAGAGAAACATCAATGATGAGAATCATTGATTGGCTGCCTCCTGCATGCCCCCTGCTGGGGATCCAGCCTGTAACCTGGACATGTGCCCTGACGGGGAATCAAACCTCAGTCTCCTGGATCATCGGTCGATGCTCAACCATTGAGCCATGCTGGCTGGGTTGTTTTGAATTCCTTAAAAGAAATGTTTTATTACACAAAACATTTTCCCAGTGATAGAATTAGAAACAAAATTTAGCAGTTTTAGTGCTAACTGGTGAAATTATTAATGTTTAAGGGTCTGTGTAGTTGTAGTTAATTTTATTACTTTAGGGTTTTGGATTCCTACTAATAGGCTTTTATTAATGATATTTGAATGAGACTTTACACAAGTGTGTACATATTATTGTACTTGATCTGCATGGTTATCATGTGTTTGAAGCCAGTGAATGAAGTAGGTGTCTTCACTTTGCAATTGTAGAAATTGAGGTCCGGACTCTACCTTGCCCAGGATTATATAGCTAGTAAGTGGTTTACATGTCTTCTCACTCAAATTCACTATGCCAGGTTGCTTTGTCAAAACAACACATAATAACAAAAAACGGACCACCTGCAGATACCTGCATGGTAGCTTAACTTCTGCACAAAACCAATAAAAATGACAAAAATGGATGGTGTGTGGGTTTGAATTGCACAAATCATAGGTAAGGTTTTTAATGATTTCCTTAGAAACCAGTTTTGCCCCAGGACTTCCTAGAGACTAAGAACAAAGGGCTAGGCCAGGCTACTTGAAAGGGTTGTTCCTTTTAGCCTGTCCCTCTATTTTTTTTTTTCACACAAAGAACTGGAGGGAAAACAAAATGGGTCTAGAGAAAGGAAGAGAGAAGGTGGGAGACTTTTTTTCCTCCCTGGCTTCTGGCTGAGAAGGACAACTCCTGCAAGTGGGATTGGAAAAGCAGATGGGCTCTTTGAAGAATTCAGATTGGAAGTGCTTTCTGAAGCAGCTCCCTCTTTGGAGATTTGCTTGAGTTTTTATGCCCTTAGTCCGGTGAAGCCTCCTGTATGAGGTAATAATTAGATGTTTATTTTGACTTTCATGTTCACTCATCCTTAGCAGAAAGAGACTTGATCATACATTCTCAATATAGGTATATTTGTAAATTAAATATATGTACTATTATACTAACATATATAATATTAAATATACATTCAAAAGAAATAAGGAAGATTGTGATTAAATCATAAATACTGTGCAGCAAGTACCAGTCTAAACTACCAGTCCCATGTAAAAGGAGGGTTATTTGTCTGACTTTGGGCTCTTCACCCATCTTGGCCTCTGTTTCTCTTGTCTGGACAAATGGATTTTGTTTTTATAGATAATTTTTTCCCTTTGGTCATGATCTTAGCCTCAGCTTACTCCAGCAATATGTTTTGCCATTTGGGGCAGTTTATAGAGGTAATTACAGGGAGTACTTAGTATTTGAACATAATTTCGTCTGAGACAAAGCCTCTTAAAGTGAACTTAAAACAACAGAAGTTTATAATAGAGTAAAAAAAAGAACTAAAATTATAACTTTGTTTTATATTTACTAAAATTTAGATTGTGATTGCAACTACATACTAATTCTTCAAGAATAGATTAGGTTTCTCTTTTTTGAAGAGATACGTAACTTTTCTGATAAAATTGCTTAATAGCATGGTATGATATCCTTCAGTTCATTTTTTGCTATTTGCAAATTAGGGTTATTTTTGTATAAATATTTGAGGATACCACCAGTTTTTCCCCAGGGTCACTTTTAATCCTTTGATAGTCATGCGTATCTCTTGGCACCCTATCATCAAATGTTAACTGCTGCAGCTCTGTTAGATCATCATTTATCAGTGACTTTGGTAATGGTAAGAATTTAGCCAACATTGACCAGATGGGTGGGAAATAGACACGGGCATTAAGTTAAGTGGGGAAGGATATTTGCGAGGACACTAATTCTGTAAATGGTTCATTGGGGCCATATTTTAGATTATGATGATTTTTGGCTTGTTTATGTAGCAGCCTCATTGCTGTGGGAACTTGGATAGTAAATACTTAAGTGGTATGAACTCTCTGTACATACTTAGATATTCTGACTAATATGGCTAATTTTCTACTTTGTAATTTTCATATAATTTACACATATGCAGATGTCCATGACATTTTTGAAGTGGTTGTAGGTAGAGTCATTAAGTGTTGTGGGACCTCTGGCAGATTTAGGAATTTTCTCTTAAGCTTTTGTATACCACAGGGTATATTTTACATTTAAAAATTTTTAATATTGTCCTTTTACATCAGGGGTGGGGAATCTTTTTTCTGCCAAGGGCCATTTGGATATTTATAACATCATTTGCGGGCCATACAAAATTATCAACTTAAAAATTAGCTATGAAAAAAGCTCCTAGATTTATTCAGTTTCAAGTCCTGCCTGTGGTTACCTTGGCAGAGCCAGACCAAATGATTTCTTGGGCTGTATACAGCCTGAGGGCTGGATGTTCCGCACCCGTTTTAGATATATCAAGTGTATAGAAAAATTTGTTTCTTTTCAGTTTAAGTATTTAGTCAGTATTGAGTGATGGTCAGTATCATGGTTTCTGGTGCTAGTTTACTAGATTTTACTAGTGAAAATTAAGATCCTTAGTGTTTCTTATGTTTTATTTTCAATTAGCTGTAGAAATTCTTGCTGATATAATACAAAATAGCACATTGGGAGAAGCAGAGATTGAACGTGAACGTGGAGTAATCCTTAGAGAGATGCAGGAAGTTGAAACCAACTTACAAGAAGTTGTTTTTGATTATCTTCATGCCACAGCTTATCAAAATACTGCACTTGGACGGACAATTTTGGGACCAACTGAAAATATTAAGTAGGTATAATTTTCATGTTTTGTTTTTTGAGAAAAACTTACGAATTGTGAAAATTAACATTCATAAACATTCAGAAAGTAATTCCCCCTCTCCCCTGATAATCTGAATGAAACTGTAGTTAGCTATACTTTAGCCCCACCTAACTCCCAGGTGTCTGAGCTCCTAACTACTTATGGAAAAAACAAGTGATGGTATAAAAATCTTTTTTCTTGATATAAAAAAGTTGAAATTCTTTGATACTTGTAGCCAATATCCGTTTTCTGACTGTATTTAACTTAGATTTCCTTTAAGGTCTAATTTAATTTTAGGTATGTTATGTGATGATCTGTGCTTTTTAATTTCCTTTTAATATTGCTTTTCTTACTCCATTTTACAGATCTATAAATCGTAAGGACTTAGTGGATTATATAACCACACATTATAAGGGGCCAAGGATAGTACTTGCTGCTGCTGGAGGTTAGTCGATTTATATTTCTATTACAGTAAAACCTCCATGTAATGGACTAATTTGGGCGAGGGGGTGTCTAGTAGCCGAAAGTCCATTATGTAATTAAGTAGGTTTTCCCAGTGTGTCTGTTAAAAAATTGACAAATTAGTTCATTTACCTATTTTTACTTATGTAGACACGTTTGTGTAATTAAAATTATATATGAAAAGTTTAATTTCACAGAAAAGTTTTTTATATGTATTACTGTAATTTTAAATTTATACTGAATAGGTGTAGTAAGTGTGTGCATTCACCAGTCACTGCAGGTAAACAAATGCACACAGCTGGGGTGTGGCTTAGCACATGTGGGAACATTGGCTCACTTGTGCTAAAAATAAGCCAGGCAGAGAAAGACAAATATCACATGATCTCACTTAGATGTGAAATCTAAAGAACATAATAAACTGACGAACAAAATAGATTCAGTGACATAGAAGCATGGAACAGACTGATGAATTTCAGAGGGAAGGTGGGGATGCGTGGGTGGGGTGAGATTAACCAAAGAATTTATATGCATATATGCATAACCCTTGGACACAGACAGTAGTGTGGTGTAGGCCTGGGGCAGGGTGTGGGTGCAGTGTAGAAGGGGTCAATGGGGAAAAAAGGGGACATCTGTAATACTTGCAACAATAAAGATAAATGAAAAAAAAAAACAACTGCAGAAAGTCACACCATGTGACAACAAAACCAGTTACTCCTCCTGATGCAGTGTGATTACGCTAATCATTTGCCAAACATTGTTTATGAGCAGTGATTCTTGGATTTAAATATGTAGACTATAGTTGTAGATGTGTAATATTTATATGTGTCAGCGAAATTACTAGTTTTTTCCAACATATGGCCTATTTGCTAAAATTTGTTAAAAGTACTTGAATTAATAACAAGAAATAACCTGTTAATTGTATGCAAATCTTTGTTAAAAGCATTTTAAAATTAACAGGGTGTTAATTTTCACATATGACTTACCAGAAATATTGTCCATTAAATCTGAAGTCTGTTAAATTGAGGTATGCAAAATCGAGGGTTTACTGTACTTTTAAACAGTGATGTGGTTATTAGTTTGATCCTGTTGGGGGATGTCCTAAGAGTATTTACAGAGCATATTGTTTACTGTGTTGTGTAAGGGGAACCAGACTTTCCCTCGATCTTCCTTAGAGTTTTTTAATAGAAAAATGTATAAACTCTCTGATGTACACATAAGTGTACATACATAATGGAATTTACTTGCAAAAGAAGGGCATGAGTAAACTGGGAGACAATGACACTTGGAAGATAGTGCTCTACAGTTTGGGAATCTTTTGAGATTTTAAATTATTTCTTGAGAACCAGCTTCATCCTTGGTCATGGAATGGATATGTTATGTTCTTTAATTCTTTCATTTGCTCATTCTTTCGGTAACACTAATTACTGAGAAGGGGAAGTACATAGGGAACCATGAGAATGTTTAATGGGAATACAAACATGCAAGTGGCCGGCACTAGGACATAGCTTCTTTGGGGACATGTTTGAAGCCAGTGAATAAGAAAATTCACATTAGATTCTGTTAGATTTCCTGGCAGTCTGAATTTAGGCAAATAGTGCATTTTATTGGTTTCTAGTTTTTTCTTTCTTTCTCTTTAGGGCAAAGTGAAGATAGATGGAGTATAAATATTTAATTTTTTCTCCCATTAGAAGTGACAGTAAATTAAAATTCTAGTTGTTGTGGATAGACTTCTTACTTGGAAATAATGAAGATGAAAAGGAGGGTTAAATATCTCAAACATGTTATTCATTGTGGCTCTCAGCTAAATTATGTTACCTTTGTATGGCAAGCAGTGTGCTTCAAAATTCTCTTGGGAAACGGGAAGACTGTTGGTTAGGTGGGACCTCAGCAACCAAACTGTCTGGAATGTCTCTGCCATTGGTGGTGGCATATGAACACAACGGGTTTTATTGTAGTTTATGAGTCCATTTTGACATTACTTATAGTTAATGGCTTGTCTTAATTAGCCTTTTGTCTTACTGATATATTAATAATGATGTGCCTTGTAAACAATGGCATCTTGAATTCAGTGAAATAAGTCAGACCTTGGCTTCTTTAAAAAAAAATTATTGGCTCTCCTGCCTTTTGGATAGAGGTAAGTGGAGTTGGTGTTGGAGCAGCTGAGTCTCTGAACATCCAACCAGGAGGGCTACAGATGAAGGTAAGAAAACAGTGGAAGCAGTTGTCATCAGGTGCTGAGAACTGTGTGCATGTTCATGGTTTTTCAGTCTCTGCTTGTCATTCTTGTACCACGAGGATTTTCCTTCTTTTGTTACCCTCTGGATTGGTATCCAAGGTGGTTCTCCTATATAGGGATTCTGAAAATGTACAAGCATGTACTGCCTTATCTTATACCACAGATTTGTTTGGAAAATACGGGTGTAAGTTGTGCTTTTATATTTTAATAGAATGTTTTACTTAAAGGAATTTCGTGGCAATATTTTTTAATCCACTTGCACATGCCTAAATTTGTTTTCTAAGTTTACATTTGTGTTTAAGAATCCTTCTCTAAGATTGAATCTGTTAGGGTCCCACATTTGGATAGTAAGGGGTATAGAATCTAAGTAATTCTTAAGTTTTGGATAGCAAGTAATAAGTGTTTGGAGAGCTAGGGATTTATTCCGAAATTTAGATGAAATTATTTTGTTCCTGAATTCTGATAGCAGAGCTCAGAGAAAAGCATATCTGTGTATCCAGCTTTCTTTAAGCATTAGAGCTCATATTCTTCTCCACTTTAGAAAATTTAAAAAGTCACTTTTTTTTTTGCTAGTTTGCATTCTAGGACTTTTAATGACTTAGTATTAACATGATTTTGTATGGGATATGTGGTATTTTCAAACTGTCTCATTATCTTTTCCTGTGAATCCATAGGTATTTTGATGAAAACTGTCAATTGCTCTATAGAATGACAGAGCTGTGCAACCAAAAGCTTTATAACAACAACAAAGGAAAAAAGTGTGCTGTATGAAGTTACTCTTAAATGGTTAAGTGAGGCAAATAGTTCATGTGTAATCTATGTCATATTAGATTACCTCGAGTTATTGTAAACTGAAGTATTGCCAGTTTATTGTCTGCTTTAGATTGTACTGCTGCTAGATATGTGAAATATTTTTCTTTAATTTAGGAGTTTCCCATGATGAACTGCTTGAGTTAGCAAAGTTTCATTTTGGTGACTCTTTGTCCACACACAAAGGAGAAATACCAGCTCTGCCTCCCTGCAAATTCACAGGAAGTGAGGTAGGGCAAGCCTCCTAAGTAGTAGTTACCCCTCAGAGTTTCTTATGCTGTATTTAAGAATGACTTTACAAAATGTGCATGTTTTTAACAGGAGTAAAATGGAGGAAACCAAAGGCTTAAACTGAAACACAGAAAAAGGAAAGAGGATGGGCTCATCTGCTTATATTCCTTCCAGTTCCATGTTATTTAACCATCTATTTTTCCTAAGCAGAGTTTTAAGGGCAATGTTATAATTTGGTCTTTTTGTGCTTTTCTTTGGCTAGATACCCGTTTACATATTGTAAGGTATAAAAGTAGTCTTTTATTTTAAAAACATCCCAAATTTTTACTTTCACATTAGCTTTACTCTTGGCTAAGTGCTTTCTTCTGCCCATAGAGCCAGAACCTGCAGAGAATCTGCTGCTTTGTCAGCTATAGCTTTAAGCCTCATTAGGAATGATGCTCAAAGTAGTGTCTGGAAGGAGGCCTCATGTTGGCAGTTACATAGAATTATAGCATTGGCAGTACAATATTAGCTTAAATTTAGATAAAAAAATTCTGATCAACAAACACAAAAGATTGATTTCTACCAGTGAAATAATACAATCCTCTTTTACCAGGTAATCATCTAGTGGCTATGTCTGTAGTGTTTTAATTGGAGACATTTTGGTAAAAGTCTTCTTTCCCTAACTTATGAAATTCTTCTAGTTTAGACTGTACAATGTAATGAGGCCTAATAGTTTAAAACAAAGTAAGAGTCATGGTAAGCATTTTAACTTTGCAATTAACGGGACTGGTGAATTTGTTTTTCTTGTTAAGTGTGTTATATAGTGGTAATCTTCACTACGTTTTGTTTTCTTTTTCTTAACTAGATTCGAGTCAGAGATGACAAGATGCCTTTGGCACACCTTGCAATAGCTGTTGAAGCTGTTGGTTGGGCACATCCAGATACAATCTGTCTCATGGTTGCAAACACACTGATTGGCAACTGGGATCGCTCTTTTGGAGGAGGAATGGTAAGTGATTTTAAAAGTCTTTTTCCATAATGACAAGACAGAACTCTGTACTATGAATTTTGACCATTAAAATACAGATTGATCTTGATTGCATCCTGGGCCAGAATTTTTTTTTTCTTTTGCCATAAAGTTTATTAGTGGGATGATTGGCTAAATTTGAATAAGGATAGAAGAAGTTGTTAATAATACTATATCAATGTTATATCCTTATTTTAGTAATTACTGTGAAGTTAAATTTTCTTGTTTTTCATAAGTCCCACTAAAAAGTATTTAGGGATAAAAAGCATCACATCTGCAATGTACTGTCAAATAGTTGAAAAAATATGTTAAAAATGATAAAGCAAACATGGTAATATAAGAATTGTTATGTAATTTGGATAAAGGGAATTCTTTTTACTGTTTTTGTAACTTTTGTAAGTCTGAAATTGCTTCAAAATTGAGTATATTTGTACTCAAAGATTTCAACAAAATACATTTTATATCTTAGGTTTCACATGCAGTATAATTTAAAGTCTTGAAGCCCATATAGCTAAGAACCCTACAGATTGGGTTGATAACAACAATGTATTGTTTTAGAAGTGAGTGTAATTATGTTAATTATAGGGATTCATTGCTTTTTACATTATGACTTTCTCTGGGGATACATTGGGCTGGTGAGATAAGTATAATTCTTGGTCTCATTGAATTTTAAATTTATTATTTGATTGGTGTTGATGGATAAAACTGAGAAACTCAGCCTCTTAGGGCATTCACTATTTGCCTCATATCTCATTATTCTTTCTCGTAATTTGGACACGTATACCTACAGTTCTCTTGGACAATTTTTTTTTCCTTACAGAACTTATCCAGCAAGCTGGCCCAGCTCACCTGTCATGGCAACCTCTGCCACAGCTTCCAGTCTTTCAACACTTCCTACACAGATACAGGATTATGGGGAATCTATATGGTTTGTGAACCAGCCACTATTGCAGACATGCTACATGTTGTTCAAAAAGAATGGTGAGAAAATCTTGCCCAGAATTCACGTTTTAGCCTAGTTTGCTTTATACGCTGTTGATGGTGATTATTTTCTGATGGTGATGTTATTAGCATTTAATCAAAAGCACAAGACTAGTAGCAGCCATGTTGTTAAAGATCATAAATGTTTCTTCTAAGTCTTATGTGAAGTTGAACTGATTTCAGCATCAAAAATACTTTAAGATTACTTTAGAAAGGAGATCCTAAAAGTTTAAAATGTTTAAATGCCAACTAGAAGTTTGGAAAATATCTCTAAATGTTATAAAAATGAATCTGAAGTTGCCATTGCTCAAAGAAAAATGTAGTGTTTTGTAGTCAAAACTAGTACCTTGAGATAGAGGCAGAAAGGCCCACAGCTTCTTGGAAAACTTTCCTCCATTTCCTTTTCTCCACCATTCTTAAATGGCTTACATCTATCTAAATCTAATTGACTGGGATATAGTTATTAAGTGTCAGGTTCAAGTTAAATTGAACTGGATTCTTTTGAGAAACTAATTACCCAGGAAACTGACTTATCCTCTAGCATATCCTCTAGCATACCAGAGCCTAGCAGATGGGGATTCATGAAGACTCCAAATTGTTACAGCATTTCTCAAAATGTGGTTATCCTGTTTTTATATTGTACTAAACCTCTGTCTGCCAGTCATACTATTTTCAGAAATTAACAATTACAGGAAAACAATCAGTAATAGATTAGCTTTTGCTAAGCTATTGGGATCATTAGTAATTCCAAGTTTTTTTTGTAAGTTGAAGTTAGGTTGTAATATAATACATAGAATATAGCATCATGTCTTTCTTTAGGTTAACATAAAACATACCCAAACTACTTGACATTTTGATTTTTCCAATTGGTTTTTAGGATACGACTCTGTACAAGAGTCACTGAAAGTGAAGTTGCACGAGCCAAAAACCTTCTGAAAACAAACATGTTGTTGCAACTTGATGGTAAGAATAAAAATGTAAGTTCTATTTTCATATGGTTGATATATATTACAGTGCTTAGCTTTTTTTTTCTCTTTAAACAGGTTCCACTCCAATTTGTGAAGATATTGGAAGGCAAATGTTATGCTATAATAGAAGAATTCCCATCCCTGAGCTTGAAGCAAGAGTTGATGTAAGTTGTTCTTTCTTACTACTGGGTCTTGTGTAAAGGTATTCTTATTACAAAAGCTAAAAATGTTTATCATTCCAGGTATAGAATTTGTCTTTACTACAAAAAGTTCTGAATGCTAGTATCTTCTCTATTTCAGGCTGTGAATGCTGAGACAGTTCGAGAAGTATGTACCAAATATATTTATGATAAGAGTCCAGCTATTGCTGCTGTTGGTAAGCCTGGCCACTTTTCTCCTATGTAGAAAGTTGGCTAAGTACTTTCCTTTTAGTCAGTTTTAACTTTCTTTTCTTTTAATCCTTAGGTCCCATTGAGCAACTACCAGATTTTAACAGGATTCGCAGTAACATGTGCTGGCTTCGTGATTAAAATGCTCCTAATCAAAATATTTTGAACATATATATTTATAAAACTAACAGAGACTGGCAAGTTTTAAACTGTCAATCCCCAAAGAAAAAAAAAGTGAACATACATACTTGGAAATTTGAATGAAATACTGCAAGACTTTAAAAGGATAAGACTACCAAAGCGAATGGTAGATCTCTTGAGAAATTATGTTTGAATGGCATACTTTCAAAATTTCACCATAAGTATAATTTTAAGAATGAAAATTTGTAAGGTATTTTCAGTTTTATTATAAAAATGCACACACAACAAAGATTGTCTTAAGTCATTTCTTGGCTCTACTCGCATTCAGTACTTGCTCTTGAGCAGCTTTCTTTGCTTTTACCATCTCGACAAGTTCCTAGGAAGGGAGAAAGTGTTATTTAGAATTGGTACACGTTTCTAGTGTTTGGGATAAATATGGAAAACATTCAAATTGGATAAATCTATAATTAAAGATACTACTGAAAGGTTGATTTTACTAACTCTCAGAGCTCTGAAAGTTTCTGAGATTGGTCATGTCTTTGTAATTTTGGCCCACAACTACTGTGGTATTGAAATAAGTAAAAATCTATAAACTCAAAACATCTACAACCTTATATCGTTTCATGCAGTCCTTCTTTGTCCTGCCAGGCACTGCTTCTGCTATTTTTTCCCATCTTTCAGGTGTATTTACTGGGTATGTTTTCAAGGCTTGTTCCAGAAGCTTCTGTTCTTCTGTTGTCCAAGGGGTGAAATCTGTGCATGGGCCTGTGAGAAAAATTTGTTATAGAAAAATGTCTTGGAACACCTTTCCAACAAGTCTTTTGGTGCACAGGTATCTTGGTAAGTGCCCATTCAAATCTGTCATGTGTAATTTTAAATTTTTAGAGATGAGACACATAAAGGGAGAAAACATTTTAGATAGCTCACATCCCAGGAAAATATCTCAAAGGCTTTTTTTAATTGATTTTAGAGAGGAAGGGAGAGGGAGATTTGTTGTTTCCCTTATTTATGCATTCATTGGTTGATTCTTATATGTGCCCTGACCAGGGACCGAACCTGCAACCTTGGCCTATTGGGACAACGCTCTAACCAACTGAGCTACCTGGCCAGGGCCTCTCAAAGGATTTAAAAAAAATTATTTTTAATTGATTTTTATTTATTTATTTTTAAAATATGTCTTCAAAGTTTTTGTTGTTGTTTTTAAGTATATCTTTATTGATTTCAGATAGAGGAAAGGAGAAGGGGGGGAGAGGGAGAAAAATCAATGATGAGAGAGTTACCGATTGGCTACCTCCTGCACACCCCCACTGGGGATTGAGCCTGCAACCTGGGCATGTGCCCTGACTAGGAATCAAACTGCGATCTCCTGGATCGTAGGCAGATGCTCAACCACCGAGCCACGATGGCCGGGCTTTATTGAATTTTAGAGAAAGGGAGGGAGAGATAAAGAGAAATATCAATGTGAGAGCAGAACTTTGATTGGCTGCCTCCTGAATGTGGGCATGTGCCCTGACCAGGAATTGAACCAACAACCTTTTAGTGCCCAGTACGACACCCAATGAACTGATCCACGCTGGCCTGGGCTCAAAGGCTTTTTCAAAGCACAACAGGAAATATTTGCCTTATGTTGCCAGTCTCTTACCACCTAACATACTCACCAGAATTTTTTTATTTTTTATTTTTCTTCTTATTTTTTAATATATCTTTATTGATTTCAGAGAGAGGAAAGGAGAGGGAGAGAGAGAGAAACATCAATGATGAGAAAGTCATTGATCAATCCAGCAACCCGGGCATATGCCCTGACCAGGAATCGAACCCCGATTGCCTGGATCCTAGGTCAATGCTCAACCACTGAGCCACGCCCAGCCAGGCTCACCAGAATTTTTTTAAACATCAGATTTAAATTATACTGTTGGGCTTGTGGGTTCAAAAATACAATCACAAGTCATTTGAGATTTCTGATAGATCTAGTTCCTTATAGGATAGTGAAAAGAGCTACGTTACAGTTACAAAACTTTGAACTACATGAGATCCTGGAAACCATTCCTATTTTACACTGGAGGAAACAACTTAGCAAAATTGAGCCAAGTGCCCAAAGTTTCAGTGCTGTAGAAGCAAGGTGAGCTTAGATTCTGTGTTGTGTGCACTTTCATACCTTCTAAAAACTAACTAAACCTTTTATTTTGAGAAAACGTACTCAGGAATATATTTCTTCCTAAGAAAATATATACATTCCACTTCAATAAGTAAGTGTTAAATGGGTAAAAAGCTGATTCGGTTATTCTATGTTAATGGGTACTTGCAGTTTATTTCAGACCACATAGTGAAACTGCAGTAGCAATTGAAATTGCTTCCTATGGGTTCTGGTACAAAGGGAAGCCTAGAAACCTAAGTTACTTTCCAATTCAAACACACACACATACACACACACACACACACACTGTGACAAGTTAAACAATACCACCACACACCTACTCATAACAAGGCAGAGAACTTGTATTTGAAGCAAGATTAGGAGTTTTGAAGTTACAGAAAGCCGTTAGCAGAATTTCCTTTTTCTGGTCTGAAGCCCACATGTAACATGATAAATTTAATTCATTTCCTCTCTCTTGGAAATGATGTATAATTATTTTCTCCTGTTCTCCAGTTACTTCACAACACCAAAATAAATAGAAAATGTTATGATGTAAAATTCCTGAGAAATCACTATTCAAAACATGGTGACAGCATGCTGATTACAGGTGCAAATGAAGAGGGGACTGTCGTTTAAACCCATCAAAGAGGTTGCCCTGGCCAGTGTGGCTCAGTTGGGTATGGTTCAGGGCATTGAGGTGTTGCTGCTTGATTCCCAGTCAGGGCACATGGGTTGCAGGCGAATCCCTGTTAGGGGGCATGCAGGAGGCAGCCAATGACGTGTTGCTCTCACATCAATGTTTTTCTCTCCCTCTCTCTCTAAACATCAATAAAACATTATTTTAAAAAAAGATGTATCTTTATTGATTTCAGAGAGAGGAAAGGAGAGGGAGAGAGAGAGAGAGAGAAACATCAATGATGAGTGAGTCATTGATCGAGCCCGGAACCCAGCCATGTGCCCTGACCGGATACCGAACCCCCATCGCCTGGATCCTAGGTCGACGCTCAACCACTGAGCCACGCCTGGCCGGGCTCAATTAAACATTTTTAAACGAGGTAAAGGTGTCGTGGCCATCACTCCTGCTCTCACAGGGTCACCTATCTCTCCTCACAGAAAAGGACTTGGTTGCTTGCATAACCATCGGTGTCCGCCTCCAACAAAGAACAAGTCCCATAAGAAAGGGCTGAGAACAGAGCACTCACACCTGACTCTTGCATGCTATTCTGTGAAGGACAAAAGGGAGCAGGAGAATAAACCCCTTAAGAACTGCCCCTCCAAGCATTCTAAACTTCTACTTTGTTATCTTTCTTAAAGGAGCCAAAATAATGCCCAGCCTAGTTACCCTCAACCCCCCAAAATCACCCGATTTTTGCAACTGCAGAATGAGTTTTTCCTCTATAAAATGCCTTAATATTTTCAAACTGAAATTTTGGGATGATAAGCCAAACCAATCTTAAGAATACAGGAAAAGTGGGACTATTAGAGGACAGGGACGGGTTGATATGTAAAAGTCAAGGCTTTTAGTTAATCCCCAAACACATTTGGAACTATGATCTGGGAAGCATATCTAAGATGAGCTTAGTTTAAGGGGCTCACAAATGTATGAAGTGAAAGAAGTTTTTCAAACTGTCAGCAATTAATGTCAACACATATATATACATGAATAAAAGTTTCACAAATAATACTTATAAAATAGGTGTAATGCTCTGGCAATTTCTAGTCATGACCCATTAAATATATTTCATGACCCACTTATGAAAAAGGCTTAGGGAGGCTGGGTCATGACTTACAGTTAAACATACTGGTCCAGGGCAATAAAATTAGCTAGAATACCAAGACAATCTCAGCACCCTAATAGTTTTTAATTTTTTATTTTGAAATAAATCAGGATATAAAGAATCCCTGTATAGTCTATCCCAATTACCCACATGTGAAACTTTTACCATACCTGCGTACTCTTTCTATACACACATTTGTTCTGAACCACGTAAATTGCAGGCATGCTGCCCCTTTATTCCTAAGTACTTTCGTATGTTTTTCCTTTAAAACAAGGACATTTTCTTACACAATTACAGTGTATTTTTCAGTCAGGAAATTGACCTCGATAAAATACTATAATCTACAGACCTGCTCAAATTTCAATTGTCCCAATATCCTTTAGCACTGATCTGTAAAATCTGGTGAACAAAACAAACAGCCTCTCCCCTAATGACATCCAAAGTAGAAGAACTGCAATTCTCAGTGGTGTTAAGTAAATCTATGACTGTCCTGAAAATGCTTGCTTTGCATCTTCCAGTCTAACCACTATACTTCCCAGTCATTCTGAACACAGACCGTAGGTCTTGTATACCTTTACACAGTGTGGATACATGGCTAGCATTTTCTACTTATACAAAAAATTTAATTACCTTCAAATCGTTCTGAAGGTGTTGCATGGTCTGCTTGAGGCACCACTCCATGTTCTTTTTTAAATTTATCAAAAGCCTTTTTGTTTATGTCATCTTTTTGATGAGGGTCTGAGGAATGAAAACATATATTTTACAGATCATCTCATTTAGTCTTTCATTAAATTGCATAGATTATCTTAAAATGCTCAAGGTATAGCAAAGAAACTGATTTGGCAAAACTAACTCACCAAGTTTTTGAAGACTCTTCGCTTTGCCAATAACATCTTTGGCGGTTCTCTTGACTCCAGAAGAAGAATGTATGTTCATGTAATTAGCAATAACTTCCCATCTAGAGCAATCGATACAATTAAGAAAAAAACCCTCCAAAACAAAAACCAGAATGACACTAACATTTTTAATGCAGAAGAGTTAGTTATGATATCTATAGAACTGGTTCTAAACTGGTGGTCTAATTACTATCATTATTGCCTGGACTATAGGTTTTGCTTTTCATATGTTTAAATCAACTGTATATAATCTTGGTTTCAAATCTGTACAAAACCTTATAGATCCTGTGTACAAATCAACAGAAATAAAACCACACATCTGTGTATCCCACCATTTGGACACATGCTTAAGGAGATAAATGATTATGAAAACACCTTTAGTTTACTGATTTACAGAATAAGGGAGTCTGGATCTCTAAGGCTTCTTTGAGTTCTAAACTCAAAACTCTGCAATAAGCTCAGGCTTAGGTGGGAAGCAACAATGAATTAATACTATGAACACAAAAACCACAATGAGATATCACTCCATATCTGTCAGAATGGCTCCCATCAACAAATCAACAAATCAACAAATGAGGATGTGGAGAAAGGGGAACCCTGGTACACTGCTGGTGGGAATGCAGATCGATGCAGCCACTATGGAAAACAGTACGGAGATTCCTCAAAAACTTAAAAATGGAACTGCCATTTGACCTAGTGATCACACTTCTGGCAATATATCCTAAGAAACCCAAAACACCAGCTAGAAAGAATCTATGCACCCCTATGTTCATAGCAGCCCAATTTACAATAGCTAAGATCTGGAA